TTTCCAATAGGCCTCTAAAATATATCAACAAAGTAATGATAATTCTTCTCAGCAGACAACCCACTTAGTTTCTTATATTATGGTCAATTTTAACCATAGTAATGCAAGGACTTATGTGTGACTTTGAAAAACTGCCAACTTGTGAAATCCAAGAGAATTTTTATATTCTTGAAGAATATATTCTTAAATTTTATATATTTAAAATTTATATTCTTAAATTTTATATATTTAAAGTTGTCTTTTGACATCAAAGAGGCAAAATATTTAATTCTCTCTTTGATTTTTCTTGTTCCCTAAATCTGGGCAAAACCCCAACACAGAGTGACTAAATCAGAATTTCCAAGTGCAAATGCCCATTAGTGTCAGGAAAGTTAAGAAGACAAGAAAAGTACCACTCCAGTACACAGTCCTCCGGTACACAGTCCTCCAGTACACATTCCTCCAGTACACAGTCCTCCAGTACACATTCCTCCAGTACACAGTCCTCCAGTACACATTCCTCCAGTACACAGTCCTCCAGTACACATTCCTCCAGTACACATTCCTCCAGTACACATTCCTCCAGTACACAGTCCTCCAGTACACAGTCCTCCAGTACACAGTCCTCCAGTACACATTCCTCCAGTACACAGTCCTCCAGTACACATTCCTCCAGTACACATTCCTCCGGTACACAGTCCTCCGGTACACAGTCCTCCGGTACACAGTCCTCCGGTACACATTCCTCCGGTACACAGTCCTCCGGTACACATTCCTCCGGTACACAGTCCTCCGGTACACAGTCCTCCGGTACACATTCCTGCAGTACACATTCCTCCAGTACACATTCCTCCAGTACACATTCCTCCAGTACACATTCCTGCAGTACACATTCCTCCAGTACACAGTCCTCCAGTACACATTCCTGCAGTACACATTCCTCCAGTACACAGTCCTCCAGTACACAGTCCTCCAGTACACATTCCTCCAGTACACATTCCTGCAGTACACATTCCTCCAGTACACAGTCCTCCAGTACACATTCCTCCAGTACACATTCCTCCAGTACACAGTCCTCCAGTACACATTCCTCCAGTACACATTCCTGCAGTACACATTCCTCCAGTACACAGTCCTCCAGTACACAGTCCTCCAGTACACAGTCCTCCAGTACACATTCCTCCAGTACACATTCCTGCAGTACACATTCCTCCAGTACACATTCCTCCAGTACACAGTCCTCCAGTACACATTCCTCCAGTACACATTCCTCCAGTACACATTCCTGCAGTACACATTCCTCCAGTACACATTCCTCCAGTACACATTCCTGCAGTACACAGTCCTCCAGTACACAGTCCTCCAGTACACAGTCCTCCAGTACACATTCCTGCAGTACACATTCCTCCAGTACACATTCCTCCAGTACACATTCCTGCAGTACACATTCCTCCAGTACACATTCCTCCAGTACACATTCCTCCAGTACACATTCCTGCAGTACACATTCCTCCAGTACACAGTCCTCCAGTACACAGTCCTCCAGTACACATTCCTCCAGTACACATTCCTCCAGTACACATTCCTCCAGTACACAGTCCTCCAGTACACATTCCTCCAGTACACAGTCCTCCAGTACACATTCCTGCAGTACACATTCCTCCAGTACACAGTCCTCCAGTACACAGTCCTCCAGTACACAGTCCTCCAGTACACATTCCTCCAGTACACAGTCCTCCAGTACACAGTCCTCCAGTACACATTCCTGCAGTACACATTCCTCCAGTACACATTCCTCCAGTACACAGTCCTCCAGTACACATTCCTCCAGTACACATTCCTCCAGTACACATTCCTCCAGTACACAGTCCTCCAGTACACATTCCTCCAGTACACATTCCTCCAGTACACATTCCTCCAGTACACATTCCTCCAGTACACAGTCCTCCAGTACACAGTCCTCCAGTACACATTCCTCCAGTACACATTCCTCCAGTACACATTCCTCCAGTACACATTCCTGCAGTACACATTCCTCCAGTACACAGTCCTCCAGTACACAGTCCTCCAGTACACATTCCTCCAGTACACATTCCTCCAGTACACAGTCCTCCAGTACACATTCCTCCAGTACACATTCCTCCAGTACACATTCCTCCAGTACACAGTCCTCCAGTACACAGTCCTCCAGTACACATTCCTCCAGTACACAGTCCTCCGGTACACAGTCCTCCGGTACACATTCCTCCGGTACACAGTCCTCCGGTACACATTCCTCCGGTACACAGTCCTCCGGTACACAGTCCTCCGGTACACATTCCTGCGGTACACATTCCTCCGGTACACATTCCTCCGGTACACATTCCTCCGGTACACATTCCTGCGGTACACATTCCTCCGGTACACAGTCCTCCGGTACACAGTCCTCCGGTACACATTCCTCCGGTACACAGTCCTCCGGTACACAGTCCTCCAGTACACATTCCTCCAGTACACATTCCTGCAGTACACATTCCTCCAGTACACAGTCCTCCAGTACACATTCCTCCAGTACACATTCCTCCAGTACACAGTCCTCCAGTACACATTCCTCCAGTACACATTCCTGCAGTACACATTCCTCCAGTACACAGTCCTCCAGTACACAGTCCTCCAGTACACATTCCTCCAGTACACAGTCCTCCAGTACACATTCCTCCAGTACACATTCCTGCAGTACACATTCCTCCAGTACACATTCCTCCAGTACACAGTCCTCCAGTACACATTCCTCCAGTACACATTCCTCCAGTACACATTCCTGCAGTACACATTCCTCCAGTACACAGTCCTCCAGTACACATTCCTCCAGTACACATTCCTGCAGTACACATTCCTCCAGTACACATTCCTCCAGTACACATTCCTGCAGTACACATTCCTCCAGTACACAGTCCTCCAGTACACAGTCCTGCAGTACACATTCCTCCAGTACACATTCCTCCAGTACACATTCCTGCAGTACACATTCCTCCAGTACACAGTCCTCCAGTACACAGTCCTCCAGTACACAGTCCTCCAGTACACATTCCTGCAGTACACATTCCTCCAGTACACAGTCCTCCAGTACACAGTCCTCCAGTACACATTCCTCCAGTACACATTCCTCCAGTACACATTCCTGCAGTACACATTCCTCCAGTACACAGTCCTCCAGTACACAGTCCTCCAGTACACAGTCCTCCAGTACACATTCCTCCAGTACACATTCCTCCAGTACACAGTCCTCCAGTACACAGTCCTCCAGTACACATTCCTCCAGTACACATTCCTCCAGTACACATTCCTCCAGTACACAGTCCTCCAGTACACATTCCTCCAGTACACAGTCCTCCAGTACACATTCCTCCAGTACACATTCCTCCAGTACACAGTCCTCCAGTACACATTCCTCCAGTACACAGTCCTCCGGTACACATTCCTCCGGTACACATTCCTCCGGTACACATTCCTCCGGTACACATTCCTCCGGTACACATTCCTCCGGTACACAGTCCTCCGGTACACATTCCTCCGGTACACATTCCTCCAGTACACATTCCTCCAGTACACATTCCTGCAGTACACATTCCTCCAGTACACAGTCCTCCAGTACACAGTCCTCCAGTACACATTCCTCCAGTACACATTCCTCCAGTACACAGTCCTCCAGTACACAGTCCTCCAGTACACAGTCCTCCAGTACACATTCCTCCAGTACACATTCCTCCAGTACACAGTCCTCCAGTACACATTCCTCCAGTACACAGTCCTCCAGTACACAGTCCTCCAGTACACAGTCCTCCAGTACACAGTCCAAGGATATGGCCCATCCAAGAAGGTAGCTGCCACACGGCACAACTCAACTCTTCCTGAGAGAGAAGGTGGACCAAGCGAAACCATCAAGAGAACCAAAAATTTGGATTTTAGGACATGATTTGCAAATGTACATATTAGCACACAGGGTTTAGACAGTTAAAACAAACAAAAACTGCTTGTGACCCCTATCCAACAACCATTTTGCTGATTCTGAGATAAGAAATCCATAAAGTAACTTGCTGAAGGCCTTTCGGTGTGCCTGAAATTACCACCATAGTTTCTCCTTAAACAATGCTATTTAAGCATAATTATGCTATTGGGAAGATAAAAACAATAGCAGTTATCATAGTATCTTAGTTTATAAAATCAGAAAATAATTAATCTGAAACTAACAGAAATGAAACACAAACACTACGTTATTAGGAGATGAAAGAGAAAGCCTGATTGAGAAAACCACAGTTTTCTCAAAACTACAGCATTTCTCAAAACCACAGCATATAGCATGAGAAAGTCTAGATGTAAAGGAAGCAATAATCAGGGATTTTTCACCTGATCAGGGATTTAATACCTGACCTTGGGAGGCTTTGAGGACTCAGAGGCATCTTAAGCAACCCAAGTAATAGGGATGAAGCCATAAAGCTTTGTTTATTTCTTCAAGTTGCCAGAGGCCACCCAGCTCTCCAATGCCTACTTCTATTGGCAATTTAGTTTAATAGGGCTCAGTCAATTAATCAGCTAAGTACTGCATGGGGGAGAGTTTTTAACTTTTATTTTTACCAATCATGTTAAAATTGAACAGTATGTACCACATTTAAGAATCACATTACTAAACCACCACCAAGTCTTGGCAACCAAGATACAACAAGGAATCAAAGTGAAAGAGGAATTTTAATAGTAAAGCTGGTGTTTTTTGCAAGCCAAATTGTTTATAGGCATTGGTTAGCAGACTGGAGAGTTCTTATAGCCCTCGAAAGAGGACCGAATACCGAGACAAGTGCATTGCCAGTTTCCAAATTGCGTTTCTCAAGTACCACAAGGTCAAAATGCCCCCCACCTCCACCCCTCAACTACCTCTATTCTCCCTGTCCACTTCACTCTTTTGTTTATTTTGATAAAGAACAAAATTTTCTTGGGAGGTTCAGGATGTTAAAAAAAAAATCATGCTTCTTCATTATGGCACTTACCACAAGCTGGCTTGTACTACGGTTAATTGTCTTCACTTGAACAATTGGAGAGCAGGACAAGGTCATGATTTTATCACTAACATCTAGCAGGGAACCTGATAGAAAATACCACCCCAAAACTCTGACATGAATCTGATTGATGCAGGCATTTCCCTAATGCTTACTGGGTTCTCTCTTTTCTTTATCTATTCCTAAGTAAATATTTGCTTTGCCTTCTTATCTGGCTCTCCTGCCAGACCTATCAAGAACAGTCTGATTTCTCCCATCAGAATCTGTCATCCTGAACTTGTTTACAAAGTTTACTTTTCATATTGCACTTAAGCTGGCTCTAACTCTGTGTCTTGGTATTGAAAATGATCTTTAAAAAACTAGTTTCTCCTTCACATTTAAAAAAATTATTCCTGATACAAAATTCTTCTAATCTCCTATAAAACCCAAAAACCATCCAAACTGCCCTAGTATAGACAATAAACTTTGTAAGGCTTTATAATGATAAAGACTTCAGCTCCGACATCCACCTCTAAATTTTCTAGTATTGCAAATTCCTGCCTCTCCATAACCATTAACTCTCGCATAGGACAGGATTTGGTTCCTAACAGGTATTCTTCTTTTCAGCAGTTCAGACACCCTTATCCATAGCAATAGACAAGATTTAATTTCCTTTCTCTCTGCTAAAATAGCTGATAAGAGAAATGAAGTTGCTGAAATGTGAATCCGATTTTCCATTTGGCTTATGAATCTGCGTGTTCAAGAATGCGTCCTGAGCATCTATCAGAGACCTCGAGAGAACACAGAACCTGGCAAAAGAAGCACACAAGACTGGTACTTCTCAACTTTAGAGTGCATATGAATTACATGAGGATATTGTGAAATGCCCATTCTGATTCAGCGGGTCTGAGTCTCACATTTCTAACATGCTCCCAGCTGCTATGGATACTGCTCGTCCAGAAAGATCACTCTTTAAATATTTAGGATCCAGACCACATGCATTTTAAACTCTTCCCCTTGAAATTTTTTCAGTTATTCTTTTCTCCAAAGCACCCACCCATTTACCACTCCTATCCTGCCCACTGCAGTAACCTGCTCAAACCTCCATCTCATGTAAATCTACCTCAGTACCTCATTATCTATTTATCTTTTGGATGTATGTAGGAACCTGCTCATATAGAATGGATGTAGGCTGCAACACTGCAAAAGAAAGCTAGTCCACTGACTCACATGAAGCATTAATAACTGCTTTGTGAGCCTTGCTTTATTTTATGAATCTCTAACTGACCTAAGGGCAGTGAGGGAAAAATTCTGAGATCCTTACACATTAAAACTCCCTAATTCACTTGTGTCTCCTGATTCACTTTTGCTCTTGAATGTTATTATACTGGAAATTTCCATTAGTTGGCACTTCTCAAGTTCACCTCCCTTCAGTGACTATGATTCTCCTCATTTTCTCCTAACTCCCAGGTTGAGATGCTGTGACAGCTTACTCAGAAACTGGGACTGTTAAAAATGTTGAAGTGCTTCTGCAATTCTATCAGACTTGACAATATTACAGGGATGAATCAGACACAAAGGAATGTTCAACTTTCAGCTGAAATGAGAATGTCTTTATCTAAATTCCATTAAACCTGGCACCTTTCAGAGAGTTCTCTGACTAAAACAAAACTCATACACAGTGACTGCAAGCCTGCCAAGCTCCCTTTATCAGAATAACCTTCAATTAGGTCTGGCCTATATCATTGACTTTAGAAAATTACCTGTCATTCCATTTTGCTTCTTGTGTAATTTAGGTTTTGTTATTGTCAAGTATCATTTACAACATAACATTAAGATTCTCTTTATGGTCAATATTTTAACCTCCATTAACACACATGTTCATGGATGAGAATGAGAAGAGATTCTGAAGTTGACTGTCTTAAAGATTGCCTGATGAACTGTGGCTGTATCAACCTCAGTGAACCCTCAGCCCCCAAAAATGGATGCATTTGTTCCTGGGAAATGCGTGGGGAAGTACAGCTGAAGGTTTCATGCTCAATAAGCTGAAGAGGGGTACCTAATCTCTTTCAGAGGTTAAACTTCAATAGAAATGGAAAGAACAGGTTCAGTCAACAAAAAGTGATCCATATCATTAGGCAAAGAAAAATAAGATACTTCAGTGGGAATCAGAGAAAAAGAGAATATTTGTCTAGAATTTTCTTCTTAACCCACTAGCAGGATTCCAATTATAGCTCTAAACTTATCTTCTTTAAACAAAAATTACCTTAATTATCCTCATGATTATTTTTTAACTTAGGTTACTTAGAAAAGCATTGCCTTATTTTCCCAATTCGGCAAACAAAAATAGGATCTGATTTTGCAACACTGACTGGATGAACTCAGTCACATCTCAGGGTTAGCAAAGCAGTGTATTGACAGTCACAGACTCAAAGCCTCTGCTCTGAATGTCTAAAGGCACATGAAGTATTTCCTAGCATTTCATATTTTGGAACTCACCATTTCCTTTGCCATGAGTACAAGAAAAAGCCAAGATTAAAAATCTCAGGCTTAAATTTGAAACCTCTGTATTAAACAGCATATAATGGGCAAGATAAAGGAATGTGAAGGTGCTTCTGCAACTCTGAATTGTGAATCTAAAACTGACCAGTCTTTTTTTTTTTTTTCCAACAGTCTCACTCTGTTGCCCAGGCTAGAGTGCAGTGGCGCCATCTCGGCTCACTGCAACTTCCTCCTTCTGGGTTCAAGAGATTCTTGTGCTTCAACCTCCTTAGTAGCTGGAATTACAGGCACCCACCACCTTACCTGACTAATTTTTGTATTTTTAGTAGAGACGGGGTTTCACCATGTTGGCCAGGCTGGTTTTGAACTTCCAACCTCAAGTGATCCATCTGCCTCAGCTTCCCAAAGTGCTGGGATTACAGGCATGAGCCACCACACCCAGCCTAAAACTGACCAGTCTCAAAAGGAGGTATAGTCAGTCTCCCAAAACCCTAGTCATCTATAAGACTTTGAATTAATCAAGATAATCCCCAGACAACTCCAAGGCTCTGGCTTGAAAAGATCAGGCTGGAAATAATTAGTTATGGAACATCACACAGTAAGCATGCGCTGCAAGCTATATATACTCAACTAACTCCTGAAATCCCAGATTTAGAACTGGAATCCTAGGATGGTGTCATGGTCTCCCACCAGCATCCTTTGTGAAGTATGGAAAAAGGAAGAATGGAGAAACTAATGAAAGTTCAAATTCTACTGGTGACCTTGGAAGCTGCAGAGACAGCTCTGGCGGAGAGCTTTGGAAGCCTTCACTCAGTGATTGCCCAGCAGCTAGGAAACAATCTGGAGTCATGGAGCTGCCTCTCCTGAGCATCAGTTGCCCTGCAGTGCCCTCCATCATCCTCAATAAGTGTGTGCTAGGTTTCTCTCTTGTTCAGGTTTATGATCAAATAGAAAGAAAGATGAGTATGGAGAGATCGTTTCCTTATTATCCTCTTTTTTACTTTATCTATAAACACCACTCAATCCTTTGGCCCCTCAGAAACTCTGGGTGAGCATCTGTTGAGAAGGCACACAGCCCAGAACACAGAATGGGAGCATTTCAACAGATTAAAGGACAAGAGCCAACAGAATCACTTATGAATTTTTTAAAAATTAAAAGAAAGAATTGTAGACAGAGGTTGGCTTAGTGAGTTTGAAAACTAATCAAACTCCAGTCAGTATTAGCTGGATTTTAAAGACATGGCATTTTCAAATATTTCCTCCTCTTAAATAACATAATGCCTAAGGTTTTCCTTTCTGAAAATGGCCAGCTCATGAAAATAATGTTTTTATGCAATATTTGAAAACAAATTTCTCCTCTATTTTTTCACTAACATGAAATTTGGTCTTTTCTGTTCCAAAAAAAAAAAACAAAACACACACTTACCAAAATGCAACTTTACAAATATTACCAAATATTTATTGCCTTACATCACTTCACCAGAAAGTGGGCCGAGAGTAAAATGACAGAAGTATTCTTTACTCCTCACTCAGCAAGAGCCGTTATAATGCCCAAGGCAAGCAATTATTTGCCAGACTGAACTATTAAAATATCTTATGACTCAGAACCAGTTGTCAACATAATACAAATATTGTAGAAAGCTTGTTTACATAAGAGTAACTGATGAATGAAAATCTCAAAGTATATTTATTTAATAAATATTTATGTTGATCATAAAATATTAAAGCTAGATTATGTTTTTAAAAGTATTTCCATCACAAAACACAAAAATAGCTATTACTAGGATAGGTTATTTTTCTACTTAATGTCTTCTATTTATTAGTAAAGTAGAATATTACTCCAGTACCTAAAAAGCCATACCCTTTTATAGGTAAAGCCAAGGTCAACACACTTTTTTCTCTTAGAAGGCATATAGTAAATATTTTAGGCCTCGTGGGTCATATGGCTTCTACTTAACTGGCCAAAACTACTCAATGGCCATAACTACTCACTCTGCATTTGTAGCACAAAAGCAATAACACATGATACATTTAAAAAATGAACACAGCTGTGAGCCAATAAAACTTTATTAACTCAAACAGATGACAGGCCAGATTTGATTTATGGGCCATAGTTTATCAACCCTTGAGTAAAGCCAAACCTTAGTATAGAAATCACGTCCAACAGTGTTGTCAAGACTTACTTTAAAACTTCAGGGATTTTAGGATCCAAGATGGCCGACCACTAACAGCTCAGGATTGAGCTCCCAGTGAAAGCCCAGAGAACGAGACGACGCCACACTTTTAGACGAATTTTCGTCACTCACCGATCAGCCGATTCCCAGTGGAGGAGCCCCACGGGTCGCCAGCGTGACTCTTGTGGCCGCCACAGCGGTTTTGCCGGGGTCTTGGCGCAGCAGCTCTTCATGCAGAGCCAACGGGACTGCTTCCCCTACTGACCAGAGTTTGGAGCTCCGGGAAGTCAGAGCCGCTTGTTGCGGACTCAAGAGGGAAGCCAGACCAGAGATTCCCAGACAGAAGAGCACCATCAGTTTTATTGCTGCTATTTAGGCCGCCACAGTGGGTTGCTCGGATCCCAGCACTGGGAATCAATAAGTTGGACGTCGACTCAGAAACCTAATTAGAAAGGTGGTTCATCTACAATGAAGGGAAAAAACAGCCTAAGAAGGCCGAGTATACTCAAAATCAGAACCCATCAGCAACAGAACAAGCCCTGATGGAAAAGGACTCATCAGCAACCGAACAAGCCCTGATGGAAAAGGACTGTGTTCCATTATCTGAAGTAGGCTTTAAAAGGTGGATGATAAGAAACTTCTGGGAGTTAAAGGAACTTGTTCTAACCCAATGTAAAGAAACTAAGAACTTGGAAAAAAGGTTCGATGAAATGTTGAAAAGAAAATACAATATAGAGAGGAATACAAATGAACTTATGGAGTTGAAAAATACAACACGAGAACTTAGTGAAATATGTACAAGCTTAAACAGCCGAATGGATCAAGCAGAAGAAAGGGTATCAGAGGTCGAAGATCAACTTAATGAAACAAAACAACAAGACAAGAATAGAGAAAAAAGGATAAACAGGAATGAGCAAAATCTCCAAGCAATATGGGACTATGTGAAAAGACCTAATATACGCTTGATTGGTGTACCTGAATGTGACGGAGAGAATGAATTCAAGCTGGAAAATACTCTTCAGGACATTATCCAGGAAAATTTTCCAAATTTAGCAAAGCAGGACACTATTCAACCCCAGGCAATACAGAGAACACCACAAAGATATTCCTCAAGAAGACCAACCCCAAGGCACATAATCGTTAGATTCACCAAGATCAAAACGAAGGAGAAAATATTAAGGGCAGCCAGAGAGAAAGATCAAGTTACCCATAAAGGTAAGCCTATTAGGCTTACAGCAGATCTCTCAACGGAAACCCTACAAGCTAGAAGAGAGTGGGGGCCAATATTCAATATACTTAATCAACAGAACTTTCAGCCCAGAATTTCAAATCCTGCCAATTTAAGCTTTACATTTGAAGGAAAAATAAAATCTTTTAGGAACAAGCAAGTACTCAGAGATTTTATTACTACCAGGCCTGCTTTACAAGAACTTCTAAAAGAAGCATTAACACAGAAAGGAACAACCAGTATGACCCTTTCTAAAAATACACCAAAAACTAAAGAGCATTAACATAAAGAAGAATTTTTATCAACGAAAGGACAAAATAGCCAGTTAATATCAAACGGCAGCAACCCTAAATTTAAATTGACCAAATCTCCCAATCAAAAGATACAGACAAAATCTAATGGTATATCCAAAGATACACATAGACTCAAAATAAAGGGTTGGAAAAAAAAAAAAAACGTACCAACCAAATGGAGAGCAAAAATAAATAAATAAAAAGCAGGAGTTGCAATTTTCACATTTGACAAAATAGATTTCAAAGCTACAAGGATACAAGGGTAAAAGGATTAATGTAATAATAAAAGATCGTAACACCCAGATACATAAGACCCATAATGAGATTTAGATTCAACGAGACAGAAAATTGATAAGGATATCCGGGACTGGAACTAAGATC